AATATTTTCACTTAAGAGCTGTACCGAATCAATATTATTATTTTTCTAGAAGCTTGGGATGAAATTCTGATGAAATTGGTATCTGATGGTACTGTCCCAAGGCTTGTTCATCTCACTGGTAGTATGGGAAAATGTGTTTTCAATTATTTTTATGAAATGTTCACTTGGAGGATTTCCTGGGAGTGAAATTTGTTCTCATTTACTCTGAAAAGGGCAAAGTTTAAATAAATGTCACCATTTAGTAGAACGAAAATGAAAGCAAACAAAAAATACAGGGAGAAGAAGAGGAAACTGGCAACTGTACAGGAAACAATGTGATATTCTTCTGATTGGCGAGAATGCCCAGGTGGTCTTGAGGTAAATCCAGGTAAGGGCAAAAAGATAAATTTTCTTGAGATTCAACCCTAAAACTTTTCTTTAGGAGTCCTTCTTGGGTTGTAGGGCACTTGGGACTCTTTGTGAAAATACCCCTTGTTATTCAGTGTGGAAGAATCAGCCACATTTAGATAGGATGCTTTTTGGTGTAGTTTGTTGACTGGCAGCTTCAGTGAACATCTCATTTTTCCAAAATTATTCTCAGGAGTGAGAAAGCTGCATAGTTATTGCTCCCAGTCTGTGGATGGAGAACGAGTGCAGAAGAAACAATAAATTCCATCTTCAAAGACAGTCACTGCTGGTGTTTATTCATAACTTCTTGCTCTTTTATAGCCTCCCAGGTCTGAGATGAGATATTACCATGTCAGACTTGTTCTTTGCAGTTCTACTTTTCTTCCTTTTTTGTGGTGGGGTGGGGGGGGCAGTGCACTGGGGATTGAACATAGGGGTGCTTTACCACTGAGCTACATCCCCAAGTCTTTTTATTTTTTATTTTGAGACAGAGTCTCATTAAGTTGCTCAGCGCCTTGCTAAGTTGTTGAGATTGGCCTTGAACTTGTGATCCTCCTGCCTCAGCCTCCAAGTTACTGGGATTACAGGTGTGTGCTAATGTGCCTGGCCTTCTTTCTTTCTTAAAAAAAAAAAAACAAGTTTAAAAAGGGAAAAGTTTAAAATCTGATTTTCTAGTTATGATCTTCTTTAAAAGAATTCCTTCCTTCCTTCCTTCCTTCCTTCCTTCCTTCCTTCCTTCCTTCCTTTCTTTCTTTCTTTCTTTCTTTCTTTCTTTCTTTCTTTCTTTCTTTCTTTCTTTCCCAAATAAGCTGTTAGGGCTCTCTCTTGACAATTTCATAGACACTATTTAAAATACTACTTCAGTCAGTTTAGTGAATAATCATGGTTTTCTTTTTCCATTTCCCATGTGTGTTCATTCTTGTTCTGATAGCCGCAATGAGACATAAGTAATGTCTATATCAATCTCTTATTTTCTTTTTTCCTAGTGTCTAGAAGATTCTTGAACAGAATGGTATGAATCTCTGTATCTTTGTACCTCACAACCTGATTGAAGACACGGTGTCATCTATGAGGCTCCACATTTATTTAAAGGGAAAATGAATTTGGTATGAAAAGCAGGGCATTTTGGCTAAAAAGTTCTCTCCTCGTGTTTTCTTCTGTATGACTAATTGCCAGGCTGGGTTTTCCCCTCTGTATTTACCAACAGGGTGGTTGGCCTTTTCCTCACAAATAAAAACTTATCTTCTTGATAAGACCTTCAAAAGAGTCAATAGAAGGAGAACAAAGAAGGAAGGAAGAACTAATGCCTCTGGCCAGTCGAAATCTCCAGGACCTAGTAGCCCTGCTGTGTTGGACACTCCAGCTTAACATTTTTATCTAGAATTGTAGTGTCCATTTAAATGTAGAATATAACTGACCTTTATTTTCATTATTTTTGACCATCCATTGCTCCTCATACATTCCTGAAAAATGAAGACAGTGGATTGCAATTACAGATAAAAACATTATTGTGCATGCAATGGGTGGGGAAATAGAATACCTGACCTTTTGTGGCTTCTGAGGATTTTCTTGATTTTTCAGTGTCATGGAATCCTTGATAGTGAAGGCATCTGATTTGAGCTGGCATTTCAATTAGTAACTGACCTGGTTCACTGACAAGCTTCACCTCCATAGAGAAAAGGCAGCAGAACACACCCGCCAACTCAGCACCCAGACTGTGCTGCAAAGGAAGGTGCAGTGCTGTCCCTCAGAGCCACCGACTCTGGACCTCGAGAAGCTTAGGCAGGAAAACCTTACAGATTATTCAGAGGGAGGCAAAGCCTCTAAAACAGGAAAGAATATTATACTTTGAGAAGTATATGTTTTTAATTCAGGCTGCTACACCAAAGTCACAGACTCGGTAGTTTATGAACAACAGATATCTGCCTCTCCCAGGGGTGTAGGGTAGAGTGGAAGTCTGAGATCAGGGTGCCAGCAAGGATTCTAGTGAGAGTTCTCTTCAGAATTGCAGAATTCCATCCTCTGGGTGTATCCTTACATGGCAGAGAGAGGAAGCGCGCTCTCTGCCGACTTCTATAAGGACACTAAGCCCATCTAGAGGGCTCCACTCTCATAACCTTGTCTAACACTGATCACCTCCCAGAGGCCCTCTTCTAAGACCATCACATCAGGATGTAAGGTTTCAACATACAGATCTGGATGGGAACTAAACATTCACTTTCTTAACAGTGTATAAGAAAAAAATTAGGAATTGTTTAGTGTTGGAGGATATATATAAATTATGGTTTGTTCAAACCATTAAGTTGGGACCATGCTGGCCTCTGTCGTAGCCCACAGCCTTAGGATCAAACAGCCTTCTGGAAATAGATGCCAAATAACCTGTTTACTTCAGGATCCCTGCCACACCTATAAGCAAGCATGGAGACATCAGACACCCTGATCTCAGACAAGACCTCTCTAACACTGAAACCTTATACCTACCTATCCTCTTTGATCTGTACTGCTGTAAATAAAGCAAGTGAGGGCTTCTTGTTTGTTAGAAGCCAGACTCTTCTGATTGGCTCAATGGGTCATGCCCCTGCTTTAAAAATATTCTTGCCTTTTGTCTTTATTTCTTATATACTACTTTCATAGCTTTTATTTATCAGCCAATCCATCCCTCAGATGGGTACCCACTCCCTCACCCACGGAGGACATGAGCGAGATTCTAGAGTTTCATAAGGGTTCCCTACCAGGGAGTGACTGCCCACTACAACCATTCTTGGACAAGAATATTATGGGATCAATCAAGGTGCAATAGGACCTAGAAGATAAATCTAGGTGATATCAAAGTAGGTACAACTCTGCCATTAAGCAAAGTGTTTTCACTGATGCTTTAGGAAGGAGATCAGAACTTAATATGCAATTGTATTTCATTGTATTAGATTATGCTTGATTCACTTTTATTACAGAAACTGAGTGCCTGCCTTTGATAAAGACTGGGTTAGTTCCGTTATTCAAGATGTCACAGAAAATAGTTGTTGCTCCACTGAGGGTAGTATCCCTTAGAATAGTAAGTGTTGAGACCATGGAATCATTGTGGGTGTCCTCTAATAGAACACTGACACTAGTTGCTCTGCAGAGTCTTATTTGGGAGGGAAATTACCCTTGAGCCATTGAAGCTAAGCTCCATCAGAGTGGGTCAGCAGGGTTATCTTGGGTTATTAAGAGTATCTTTCCTTAAGTGGGTTGGTGCATAAGCCTATTGTCAAGCTAGTAAAAGTTGTGGATCCTTTGGTTCTGAGATATGCAAAACAAAAGATATTTACCACTTAGGGATAGATCACAAAAGATAGAAAAGGGGTCATTGTGGGTCCATGACAGGGCTTTTTTGTTTTGGTTTTTGATACTGGGCATTGAACCCAGGCCACATTGCCACTGAGCTACATCCCCAGACTTTTTATTTTGTATTTTGAGACAGGGTCTTGCTAAATTGCTTAGGGCCTCTCTAAGTTATTGCAGCTGGCCTCAAAATTGCTATTCTCCTTCCTCAGCCTACCAAGTTGCTGATATTACAGGTGTGCACCACTGTGCCCAGCTTGGGCCCATGATATGAAAGTCAGAATCATGCAAATCCAGCATTCTGTGGTTTTCTGGGACTTGGGAAATGGTCCTGTGTCTGTGAAGAAGAATGGGAGCCTGTAAACTTGGGAGTACAAGCAGGAGGTAACATAGGCCAAATTGTGGCTGAGGCTGTGGGATCATCCTTTACTGGCTGCCTCAGCAGCAGCAGTTGTCCTGCAATCCCTCTCAGACCATGGGGAGACCAGATGTCATCAAGAAACAAGCTGAGGTCTACCACATGAGCATGGAAGCTGTACTAATCCTTTTCTGAATGGCTTAAATCTCCTGGATTCTTACACTGGTCAGGAGTGGCAGTGGGCAAGGTCTTGAGGGAGAGATAATGAACTGCTTAGTTGAAAGGTTGTTCCTCTAATGATTAATCAGAAAAACAGGAGACATGAGAGTATTTGTATCCTCTGGTTGTAGGCCAGGTACACACAGAATGTTTTCACTCAGTGGTGTGGGTTCAGGAATTTTCAATTGACCCTACTTTTATTTTGTTTTAAAGTTCTACAAGAAGAATCTCTCGACATGTGATGGTAAACAGATAAGATCCACAGGATCTACATATCTAACTACAATAGTCTGCATTTTATAGGAAACACTAGGTAAGGAGCCTGTCCTAGAATATTCTTTTATATATAACTTACTCTTTTTTTCTTCCTCTAGTAAATGCTATATGTTACATTCACATATAAAAAATAATGATTCCATATTTCATAGGAATTATTTGTGACAGTTCTACTAAATGTAAAAATCATTCTGTGATGGAAGACTAATGGATTTTGACTGTGGGGCAGTAAAGGATGAGAACTCATATTCTCAGAAAAGACATGTTTAGGATGTGCCCCCACCCCCGCCATAGCTTTTCCATTTAAGAAAATTTCTGCAGTTAAGAAAATAAAAGTAAAGCACCATCCTTTTTGATTCATTTCTGAACTTTTCTTGCAAAGCAAGATGCAGAAACAGTGAGTCAACTCTCACCACTGCAGACCCTGCAGCAGGGACTTCTATGGTACCAGCTGCAGGTTTGGGTATAGACCAACAGTGTCATGGGAGCACTGTGTGACTAAGGCACAGAAGTAGGTGGCAGAGAGAACATACTGGGTGTCTGTGATGTGCAGGGTGCTAAGACGGGCCATGGTATCAAGTGAGGCTGTTAATGGTCCCTCCTGCTTCACTGCTCCATTTGACAGCAATATAAACAGAAATTCCAGGCTTTTCCCTGGATCCTGTCTGTACCAGTGCAGTCTGTCTGTAGAAGTGACTGAATAATTGCAGTAGATGGTATGGTCTTCTCCCTCCTGGGTGCTCAGGTATCGAGGGTTCTGTTCCACGACCACTTCTCCAGTTATCCCTGTTCAAAGAGAACATTTCAGAAGGAGGGGTTCACTGGTTACTTACCACCCAGTTCCTCTTCAGGGAGCCCAGGCAAAATGCATGGAGCCTTGTCACTATCCCTGCACATTGTGTGGATAATTCCTCTCTCCCCAATCCTCCTCTCCAATAAACTCACAGTCTAGTTGAAGCCATAGAATCACCACTAGTCCTGTCTTCATTTTTGTTTTTGTTTTTCTTTTTTGGTCCAATTCACTGAAGACTCAGATTTAGGAGTCTTGAAAGCAGACCGGGGCTTCTCCAAATATAGTACTTTTTCCTTTCTTTACAGAAACGCTATTTCAACAGATGTTCCAACCAATTACCATCAACTCATGCAATTCACTCAGTTCTTCCCTTTCATTAAAAAAAAAAAAAAAAAAAAAAAAGCTTTGGACAGAGTTTGTGAATGGAAACAGTGCCCTCTTCAGGATACTTAGAAAAATTACTGAGAAAGCAATTTTCATAGAATTGAAACTTCATGGAGGTGGAATTTACTTCTTCTAAGCCAATGTTCTTAAAAAAATTCTTAAATTAGGGGCCTGGGGTTGTGGCTCAGTGGTAGAGCGCTTGCCTGGCACCCGTGAGGCACTGGGTTTTATCCTCAGCACCATGTAGAAATAAAATGAAGGTGTTTTGTCCACCGACAACTAAAATATATATATATATATATATATATATATATATATATATATTAATTCTTAAATTAGTGTTTTAGAATCTCATTGACTTTGCAAGGACATATTTTCAATTGACATAAATATGATTGCATAAACTTAGGCAAAAGAAAAACACGTCGATTCCTTTAAGCCTGGCGAGTGCAGCAGTGAAGTGTATCTGTGCTTCTGGCATCTGGTTTACCAGGGAAATGAATCCCACAAGAATGCTCCTTTCCTCCTACTTCTCTCTGTGTATTAGCTTCATTTACTCAATCCACATTCCACCACAGGGAATGCCATTGCAAATATCTCCTGGCCTGGGTTCATTTCATAGTGTAGCTACCAAAGAAATACCAAGGCTCCTTCTTTCTGATCTCAAATTTTAAAATTCTGGGCTAAAGCTATAATTACCTCAGTCTGGGTCAGGTTTCCTTCCAGATAGTCTATGCATGACCAGAGTGGCTCAGCTGGGTCAGGCATCACCTCTGGGTCATCAACAGCCCATTCATAAGTAATTTGGCAATTCCCATTCACACCACGTGGTTAGAATTTATCTTTTGCACAATGAGTTACTATTTTGATGTGAAGAAATGGTTAATGCCCACCATTACTGTGTTGTATGAAATCTGTGAACTGTTGATGGGGATGGGTGGGAAGGCTTCTCTTTTTTAAGTATTCCCTTAAACATGAGTAGCTACTTCTGATGAACTGGGTTAATTTATGAATCATCTTTCCCTCCTGTATGCAGTGTACCTTCTCTGTACCATGTTGACTGTCAGAGTCAGTTTCTTCTGTAACTCAAATAGCTGGTACAATGTTCTGGAAGAAAGGAAAAATAATAGCAATTCATGTATTGAGCTCACCTATATACTGAGCATTATGCTGCATGAATGCATAATCTCCTCATATCCTCACAATATCTATGTTTTAAGGCAAAGGAAACTGGGGCCTATAAAGGTTAAATAATAAATCTACAATCACACAGTTAGTAATTGGAATTGAGATTCAACCCGTCTGCATAGTTACTGGGAAAATGCCCTTTTCCATTCTTTCCTGTTTGAAAGTACCAAATCTGTTAAGATTTGGGGGTTCCAAGGCAGAGACAGGAATTTTTCATCCATTAGTCTCATTACGATCAATGTGGGACTGCTTTCTATATATACTTGTTCTACCTTTTAAACCCTAAACTCAGTTCTCTGCTGTCTTAAGCAAGATCCACAGGAATCCCCTTTCCTCTGGACTCTCTGTAGCAGATGAAATAATCCAGCACTGATTTTTCTCAAGAGCACTTGAGAAAATAGACGACATTAGGAAAAATAAAAGACTGGTCAAAAGTATCTACTAAGTACCCATTAAGTACAAGTACTGTGATAAATGATGGAATGAAGTCCTTATATAACATCACAAGGTCTAATTTTAATCTTAATGAAGTCATTAGTTAGGAAGATCAAAACAATATGCGCTAGAACAAAAGCTAATAGTGCAAGTCAGCATAACATTTGTTTGGATTTTTAAAAATAGGTTCCGTATGACTTCAGAAGAGAGAGGGGTTATGAAGTTAGTACAGTCTCTTTGGAGGAGCTGAGAACTAGAGAGTATATAATGTCTAGATAGAGATTTATAGGCCATTTTAGAAAGTGTAGAGATAGGAGTGTGGATAATGTGCTTTGGGGAAAGTGTTAAGAATGGTCTGACTAACAGAGAAAACACAGACTGGGAAGTAGCCTCTGGAAATCATAATGGATTGGTGAAATGAGGAGCTGATTATGGGGTCTCTGAAAGCCACTCAAAGAGACTTATATTTATGAGAAAGCAGGAACTGTTGTGGGGTATAGAGTGGTGGGGTAATGTGTCAGAGAGAGATTTTAAAAGAAGGTATGGCAATGGTGTAGAGGGTTTGGGAGGGGTTGAGATAGTGAAGCAAGAAAGAGACTTAAATAATGGAGGGGAACACTTCTTTCAGCTCCAGGGAAGAAGCAAGGACTTAAATAAGGTAGCAGTCATAGGAATTCTAAACAAAGGATGAGTCCAAGAGCACATCAGAGGTCAGCAGTTAGGAATTGGTCTCTGATTTAACTCCAAAAGCTTCAAGTTTGAATAAAGATGATGCCACTTACAGAAACTGCAAAGTTGGAAACTCTGAAAGCATCTGCGTAGGTGAAGTGTTTTTAAATATAGATGATAGTAAGGTATTAAGTGAAACTGCCCAGGTGAGAGTCAGGGGTAGAGGACCGAATCTCAGATAAATGGAAAGTGCTTGACACACAGAGAAACTCTACCAAAGATGGCCATTACATCATGCATCCTCAGTGTGCCAATCAGCATTGCAGCGAGTACATATCTGTTTCTCCCATGGGATCCCGGAAGGCAGAGGATTTCTCCTAGTGACCTTTGTTTTCCCAGGGTCTAGCATGATGACTGACACAAAATAGGGGTGGAATATATGCTTTTAAAAGATGAGAGCATGGAAGAGTTGAGATATAATAATTGGTGTATGTGTGATATTTGTATGCTGGGTAGATGGGGAAGGAGAAAGAGGCAGAATTCAGGATTTTTTTCCCCTTTAAATTAACACTGACTTTGGAATTACAAAATAATGTACAATTTTTATAAAGTTGAGCTATTTAAATGAAAAAGTTACATATTTCTAAAATTCATCTGTTTAATCAAGATCAATTTACAGAAAATAGTAACTGACAGTTTATCCGCAGTTATGTCACCTTTCTCATTAATGTTTTATATTTGTGTTTTCTCTCATTTTATTAACAGGTTTTCTAGAATACTTGGTTTTACTTATAAATTCTAATTTTTGCATTGCTTTTTAATTCTCACTTTTATTAAACTTATTAAAGTTTTTCCCATTTTGATTATTTTGCTTTCTTTCTTTGTTTCTTGAAATGCAGGATTTGGCTTCTTTATTTTATTCTTTACTTAGAAGTGTATGTAAAGCTATGTATTTTCTTATTAATATTGCTTTGGACAAATCCATAGGTTTTTATACATAGTACAACCATTAGTGTTAATTTTTAATGGCCTGTAATTTTAACTTTTAATTCTTTGACCTGGAAATTATTTAGAATATTATAAGTGGTTAATTCCTTTTCCACTCATTTGTTGGCTGTATTTTAATTATTAATTTCTAGCTTTATTGAATTGTGTTCAAAGAACATTGCTTGTTTGAATCTTGCTTATTATTTTCTTTGAGTCATATGTGTGCTTGTTTTTTAGTAAATGTTCTGCAGCTATATCTTTAATTCAAAGTTATTTTCCATCTTCCTTGCATTATTTTCTGAGAAATAGATATTGAAGTGTCCCATCACTAACATGTTATCAAGCATTTGTACTTCCAAGAACTTTTGCTTTTTTTTTTCTGTTGCAGCATTATTTATGGAATAAAAGTAGGACCATCCATTCATTCATGAAATCCATCCATTTATGAATTAGAGAAGTAACTTGAGAATCCATTATGTTCCAGATCCTGGGTTGAGCTCTTGGGTGATGGTGATGATCAAGGTCAAGAGGGACTCATCTGTGATGTGATAGAGTGTGCTGCCTGCAGAACAGGGGACGTTGGCACTCATTTAATGCTTGGCATTAAGTGTGAAGGAAGTTGTGATGGGGGATTGACAGGTATTGAGGGATGGTTAGCAGGTAGTAACCTGAGGCCAGGGGCCTAGACAGGGCCTCCCTGAAGAAGTAGCCTTAAAGTTGAAATTGGCATATATTTAAATCTGGGAGCAGACAGAAAACTAGTAGAAAACTTGTGAAACACACAATTGTGTAATCTGAGGAATGTGGCACCAGTTATAAAAATATTAATGTGTAAGCAGGGTGCAGGGAATAGTGTTGTACCCTGGGACTGACGTCACTACAGGACTTGAATGTGACAGAAGGAGTTGTAACTGGAATATAGAGGAAAAAAAGGCTGTTTGGTGAGCCTTCCTGAACAAGTTGACATTGTGCTCTTGGGTGTCAGCCTGGGTCAGTGCCAGATGGAGGAGGCTGGGTGAATGTACACCCTGACCTTAAATCCCCCTCTTTCTCTGATCTCTGCAGGTGCTCCCCTTGGGTCCAGACCAGGAAGGCAAGATAAGTCATGATGTGTTCCCTATAGGTTGGTTATTGGAGCACAGAGCAGAGTGGAGCATGAAGAGAGGACTGGGAAGTATACACAGGAGAAAGTAGGGAGAAAGTAGTTTAACACTGGTGAAAGAGACACCTGAGAGATAAGACCAGAGAACTAATCAGAGCAAAGAAGACTTTGTGAGCCTTGATAATGATTTCAAATTTTGTCCTGTGGGAAATGGGAAGCCACTGATGATTAGTTTTAAGCAAGAGAGCAAACAGAACACATTTGCATTTTTAAAGCTAACTCTGACTAGAATGAGGAAAAATGCCTTGGAGGGAACAATGTTTTCTTTACTGAGATGGGGACACTGGAGAAGGAGGACCTCTAGGGTGGTGTGATAATGAGTTCAGTTTTGAACAGTTGGTCAATTTTGAGGTGTCTATGTGGGTCTGTGATGAGGAGGCTCTTGCTAGAGATTCAGATTTGTCAGCACAGCTCAGTTGAATTCTATTTGCGATTTAGGAATCACTGAGATCCTCTAGAATCTGAACGTAACATAGAAGGGTTAGAAGT